TATTAAACCATAGTGGAAAAGAGCCCTTCATTGGAAATGCATTAATTATTTGACACTGGTTTTCCTCAAAGTCATTTTTTACTATGGGATGCAAGTGAAAGATTACAGCTGAAAAAATGATCATCATACTTGAGGGAGGCTAGGCTCACAGAGTCTTTTCTTAGTTTCTGTGTGAAGTTGTCTTGAACTGAAACCTCTGCTCCTTAAGGATTAAGGGATTGAAAAGCAAAGACTCAAGCTGCTGTAATTTAAACCCAGTGATTCCCGAGCACAAAGTACAAAATGGACTTGGCCAATCTGTTTCTTTGCTAGTTTGGCAAAGAAATAATTTTACCTTTTCAAAGTTTGGTACTATTAACATTCCAAAGGTGTTATTATCTTTAAAGCTTTTTCTCCCCCTCCTCATGGCTCATAGCATGAGATCAGAGCCTGTTTAACACCAGAGATGTAGATATGGTATCAGATGACAATTTACTGAATTTCTGAAAATGTCCAACTATGTGATATGTAGATAAATTTTAAAGAGAAATTCATTGCTGAATGCCAAGGAGGAGGATTTTCTTATTCACAAAGATGTCTTATCCCCAATAAAGTTTACAGAAAAATTTGGAGTTGTAGTTTTTCCTTTGTATCTGGTTTATAGCTATTAGAACCAAAAAAAAGTTTCAGTATAATTTGATGGGGTCCTGACAATTCTAGGCATAACAAGAAATATCATTTAATAAGAATTAAGTTATTCTTTTGGGCAGAGCAAAATCAGTTAATTACTTTAATACTGAATAAAATTCGTGAGCTTTTATAACAAAATGAATGGATATACATTTTGTGAGAAGATGGGTTTTTTTTTCATTATTTGAAAAACTTTGATGCAAGAAGGTGGTAAATCATTCCATTCCAAATGTTTTTAAATGTGTTTTGCCTATTATTGCTGGAAGCAAATTATCATCACCACAAATTGTTTTGGGTAAAACTGGAGGCATTAAATGTTACTACACTAAACACTAAAGTTTAGATTTCAAGGTTTCAGACTGTTTCCAAAAGGAATCATGGAATCATAGAATCTCAGAGTTAGGAGAGACTTCAAAGCATGGGTAAGTATGTGTGTATGTGAATGTGTATGTGTGTACATTTCTAAATCTGTGATTTCATTGCTATAGGGAACTTCCTTGAGGATTTCCTCTGACAAGGAGATTGGTACTTTCCTTGTAACTTATAATCTTAGAGAGTTGTCTGGTGCACTGAGGTTAAGTGACTTGCTCAGGGTCAAATAGCCAGTATGTGTCAGAGGTGAGATTTGTACCCAGGTCTTCCTGATTTTGAGGGTGGCTCTTCATCTACTACACTATATTGCCTTTCTAAGGTTATCTAGTCCAACTTAAACCTAAAGCCCAAATCCCCTCTACAACATCTCTAGAAATGACTAGCCAGTCTCTCATTCATTCAATAAACAATTTTTTATTAAGTAGGCACTCTTTCAGATTCTGGGCATACAAAGATAGCACATCCGAAAACATCAAAGATCTATATCTATATACAGATAGATAGATAGATAGATAGATAGATAGATAGATAGATAGATAGATAAAGTATGATGTGAGGGGAAGTGAGATAAGGACAAAGGAGAGGTCAAAGCCAAAAGCTATGGGAAAGCCTTCACTTGTGGATCTCCTGTGTCAGAAAACTCAATACTTCCTGAGGCAGCCCATTTCTCTACCGGACAACATTAATTATTAGGAAACTTTTTCCTTAAAACAGAGTCTCTATTATTACTTCCCCTAATTGATCTTCATTATGACCTCTGGAAAAGCAAGCAAAATAAATCAATAATAGCCATTGCGTAACACTTTAAGATGTGCAAAGTACTTTAGCTATATTATGGATGATCTTCACAGCAAGGCTGTGAGAAAGGTGCTACAGCTATTATCTTAATCTCTATTCTATAAGAACCCAACTGGTGATGTAAGAAGTTATGTTTTGCCTGGGACACACAGTTTAGTAATCATCAGAGGCTAGATTTGAAGCCAAATCTCTCCTGACTCTAACACTTCTTCCACCCACATCACATTGCCTTTTTAATCCCATTTCAATATATCTTCTACCTTCCATGTCTAAATAATTGTCTACTTCTATCTATTTTACTTCCAAAGTACCCTTCACATTCATCCCATTTCTCTCTACTTGCATAAACACTACTCCAGTAAAATCCCTTATCATTTCTTACTTGGACTGTTATAATGTTTATTATCTGACTAATTAATAAATTCCAATTGATTCCCCTTCATCCAATCTCTCCAAAACACTTTCCATTCATGTAGAAAATATATATTCCTACCACATAGGTCTAAAATATCATTCTCCTGCTCATTTAGCTTCAAAGACTCCATATTGCCTCTAGGATAAAATATAAATTCCTCAGTTTGTCATTTAATGCCCTTCTCACACTGAGGGGGTACCCGTCAATTGGGGAAGAGCTGAACAAGTTATGGTATAGGAAGGTGATGGAATATTAATGTGCCATCAGAAATGATGCAGAAATCTGAGAACACTTGTCTGAAGTAATACTGAGTGAAGAAGCAGAACCAGGAGAACAATGTAGATAATAACAACAATATTGTAATGACAATTGACTTTGAAAAGTCTTAGGACTCTGATTAATACAATGATCAACCATGATTCCAGGGGACTCATGATGAAAAAAGATATTCACCTCCTGATGGCAAGGTGATGGAGTGCAGACTGAAACATATTTTAGACTTGGTCAATCTGGGAACTTATTTTGGCTATATATGTTTCTAACAGGGGATTTTACTTTTCTTACTTTCTCATTGGAGAAGGAATGGTATAAGGAAAGATGAGAGTAAAAGAAGGTAGGTACTTATTTTTAAATCTTAAATAAAAATAATACTCTTCACAATGGAGTTCTGATTTACCTTTCCAGGCTCACTCTAGACATCACTCATCTCATACATTCTACATTCTAGTCAAATTAGCCAGTGCCAAACTGCTGCTCTCCATATATGATTTTTTATCTTCCACTTCCATTCATTTGCACAGATTGTCACCCATATGCCTGGAATGTTCTCCCTTCTCATCTCTGCCTCTGAGAACCCTTATCTCCTTTTGAAACTCAGCTCAAGTGCCACCTCCTACCAAAGGTCTCCTATCAAATAATTCTTCCAATTGTTAGTATCATCCTTCATCCCACCAAAAAAAAAATTATTCTGTAGTTATTTTGACCATGTTTTGTATTTTCCTAACTGTGTATATGTTCTACCCAGCTTTTATGCATAGTTGAATGTAAAATTGCTTAACAGATGAGACAATTTTCATTTTTGTCTTTTTATCACTGGCAACTAAAATAGTGCCTGGTATATATAGACACTTTATAAAGACTTGTTGACTTGAATTGAATTAAGTTGAATTGAATTTAAATACTTGAAGATAGTAGTCAGGTCATTTGAAATCTTTTGTCCTCCAGACTAACCATTCAAAGTTCCTTTAAACAATCCTCATGGGACATGGTTGTGAATTCCACACAAGGAGTTGTGTCGTTAATATAATCAGTCCATGGGAGAAATTGTCTTTGTAGGAATCCATTTTTAAAAGCCACTTATATATTCCACCCAAACCTCTCACAAATGTTGTTGAAATTAAAAAATCTTCATAAAATCCTTTTGGTTCAATCCCTACATTTTATTTCTTCCCACTTTTCCTCACCCTAGTACTTTATGCCTTCTCACACATCAGATTAAAAAAATTATATATCTCTACTCTTATTCCCCCTCTACCCATTTCCCCACTACCAAAGCATTCCACAATCTGTTCACTTGATAATTTGGCTCATTTAAGCCTCTAGAAAGATACCTTCAGAGTCATCTAGTCAAACACATACAATTTCTGAATTAGAAGGAAACCAAAAGGTCATAGAGTTTGAAACTGTTTCTAAATAGAAATTCTTTCTGGCATGTCACTAAGAAGCAGCTGAGAAGAAAAAAAAACAAACAAACAGACATTCACAGGAGACAAATATCTAGGAAATAAGGCAGATACAAGCTATGGCAACTAGCTGGTATAGTAAACAGAGTGCTGGATGTGGAGTCAGGAAGACAAGTTCAAATCCAGCCTCAAACATATACTATCTGTGTTGCCCTGGACAACTCACTTAACCTCAGTCTGCATCATTTTACTCATCTGTAAGATGAGGATAACAGAAGCACCTACCTCCCTGAGTTGTTGTGAGAACAAAATGAATTAATATTTGTAAAGTGCTTTGCAAGTCATATAAATGCTGCTGCTGCTGCTGCAAATGATGATGTTTATACACAAATCCATGAAGTAATAATCAGGAAGAATCCAATACCATAATGTGAGTCAAACTTGACATCACAGGTATCACTGAGAACTGGTAGAATGGGATTTGTGACTGAATTATTCAAAATATATTGGATAGGTGAAAGAGACAAGATGAAAAAAACAGTGTGTTTAAAAGATAAATTAATTCTAGGAAAGTTAGGATTTTGAGGAAAGAAATGTGGTGAACATTTGGGTAAAGATCCATGGAGGGTGAAAGAGAAACAACATTGTCATCAGAGTAAACTTCAGCTCACCTGGACAGGAAGAGGAAATAAATGAGGAATGAAAAAAAAAATCAGATCACAAGTTTGACACAAAACATGCTTCTATATTGATGAGAGACTCCCAACTATGCAGAAACTTATTGGAGCTCCCTTACCAAAGTAAAGCAATTCCCAAAATATTGACTTGTCTTGAGAATGTCATCCTCTGAGAGCAGAAGAACAAATGAAGATAACTGCCATTATGTATTTGATGAGCTCAGTGTATGACACTTATCATCACTTAATAAATGTGTAGACTGAATGTATCTGATCATCATCAGCAAAGGTGAACTAGTTGCTTGGATGGAAACAGTAGGATCACTGAGGAGAAGTGGATACTACAGTTTAGAATTAATAATAGAAAAGGAAAATGTCAATACTCACAAACCCAAATGCTTGTCCATCTCAGAAAAAATTGGAATAATGTATTCACATATGTCAAAGGCATGCCTAAAGAAAGTATGGAAAGTTGTCAGACCTCCATTAACAATATTCTATAACAGAAAACATTAATACAATTGTCTGAAAAGTCTTTCTTCCTAATCTTTAACTTATTTTTATCTCTTTGCTGACTTTCTTGGAGTATATGCTCAGTAACAGAATTTCTGGGTCAAAAAGCATAAACAGTACAGTGAGTTTTCTTCCATAATTCTGAACTGTTTTCCAGAAGTTAAATCAATTCACAGTTTCACCACTAGATTAATATGCTTCACTTCCCATATTCCTTAAACATAGGCTCTTTCAATCTTTAATCATCTTTTATAATTTACTTGGTATGAGGTAAAATATCATGGTTATTTTGTTTATTACTTCTCTTGTTATTGGTGATTTGGACAATTTTTTCATATGGTTATTGATAGTTTGCAAGTCTTCTTTTGAAAGCTCTTTGTTCATATGCTTTGACCATTTATTTCTTGGAGAATTGTGTGTGATCTTTTCTTTGTCAATTTCATGTGTCAATTTTAGACAATCTCTGACAACTGTATGTGTCAAATCTTTATATATCTTGGATATGAGGATCTTATCAAAGTACTGATGCAATTATACCTTTTGACTCCACTATTTTTCATTTTATCCCATCTGCAATGATTTTTTTGTTTCTTCTGAGACTGAATTATTGTTCCATACCTGAGAACCACAGGATATCAACACAAACATACTGATCATAAAAAGTTTAAGAAGAAACTTGGGATGATTAAAACCATTCCCTAATTTCCCAGTGGCAAACCTTCCCCTATCACCTCCTTCATCACCTCCTTTTCACAATGTCTGTGTAAGAAATAGGTAGATGGGCCAGTTATCTTTTATGATCAGTTCTATAACTGACCCAGCTATCTATTTCTTGTACAGACATTACGGATAGACAATGAAAGAGTTGAAAGAGGCAGAGTTGCCATGGGGAAATTGTATGACTCTTGAGTTATGAAGCAATACTTTGCACTCTGAAGAATATAGTTGAAGGTCACCCAAAGGGCAATGGAGAAATGCTTGGTGAACAGGAATGGTCTGTAACATATTATAAACCAAAAAAATATTGTTCAGAAGAAGTCTTGTAAAGTATATCATCAGACAGACGTATGACTAGAAAAGAAGATGAGTTGGTCAATAGCAATATAACACAGTAGAGAGATATCCAAGAGACAGTCTGCATAAAATAATGAATAATATAAATTCCTTGAGGACAGTGATTATTTCACTTTTTTTAAAGTATCTTAAGCACCCAGCACACATTGGAACTTCATAAATGTTGTTGATAATTGGTTGATAAATATTCCATTTGTATCCACTCAATGTCAAGAGATCAATAGAAAAATAATCACATGCTAAATGTATCCCTGTAGCAAATTTATTGGAGGACAATGACAAGAATTACACAGAGTGAAATCAGCGGAAGGGATACCCACATCTATGCTATCTTAGATTCAGCTAAATATCACAGTATCCAGTCCTAAGGGAATGATCCCACTCTAATTTGGCCTGACCAGATTATATATGGAGCCAATTTGTATTTCCTTGGAGTGTTGTATTGTACAATGGACACCAGAGATGATCTAAAGGGGGGCAACTAGAATAGTGGAACATCTCAAAGTTATGCCATATGACGATTCATTAAAAGAACTGGAGATGTTTAGTCTAGAGAAGAGGAGACTCAGTGGGGACATAATAATCTTCAAGCATTTAAAGGGATGCCATGTAAGAAAAGGAATTAGTCTCGTGGTGCTGGGTCCCAGAAGACTGAGGTAAGAATAATGGATAAAGATGAAAGGAGACAGATTTTGGCTTTCTGTATGGATAAAGTTTGCAAAACTTAATACTATTGTAAAACAAAATGTCATGCCTTGATGGCTCTTGGGCTCTATCTCTGAAAATTTTCAGCAAGGGCTGAATACACATCTTTCAGGTATGTAGTGAAGAATATTTTTGTTAAAGTATGGGTGGGACTACATAGCTAATGAGGTCACTTACAATGTTGAGGCTCTGTTAGTGGAAACATAAATCTGCTTCTATGCAACCTCCATTCACTGCTCTTATTTTTGTCCTTTGGAGCCAAGGAGAAAGACCTAACCTTTCTTTTGTATGAAAACTCTTCAAGTATTTGAATACACTCATTAGACAATACTAAGTCCTTTGTGCTCCCGGCTGGATGCCCCCCATTAGTTCAAATTGTGATTTCTAGGCTTCTCATCAGGTTGCCGGCCCTACTCTGGATATGCTCTAACCTTTCTGAAATACAGAACCCAGAACTGAGCATAATACTTGAAATATAGTTTGAGCAGAGCTAAACACAATAGGTCTCCAACCTTCCTTGTTTTATATACAGTATATCTCTTAATATAGCCTAAGATTGCAAAAATTTCTTGGCTACTATGTGAAGAAACTATTCATTTCTATTGATCTATCCACTAAAACCCCCAAGTCTTTTTCATGTATTCTGTTGGTTACTAATGATTTCTTTCTAGCTGGCACTTGGGAAGTTGATTTTTTTTAAAACTCCAGTGTAGTATCTTACTGTTATTTCTATTAAATTTCATCATTTAAGTTTCAGCCCATCATTCTAGCCTATTGAAATTTTTAAAAATTCTGACCTGCATTCAAAGGCTGTACCTATTCTGTCCTGCATTAATGAACTGTTTGAGAAAATGACTCATTATACAGACAGTTGTCTCTTCACATAAGTGGGCCCTTCAGCAGACTTCTATGTAAAGCAATTTTTATGTATTGCAACTGACAGACATGGGGAAGGGAGGGAAGGAAAAAATGAGTTAAGAAAGGGACCACTTGGTGGAGGCTGGGGGCTGGCACACTGTTGAAGGACAGAGAAGTGAGATCAGGAGGAGGAACACATGGATTGTGGCCAGGCATGTGGGGACCTGGATGGAACCAAAAGGAAAAAGGGGTAGCAAACACATGGGGGCAGATGCAGGTGGGAGAAGACAGGCAATATGCAGGGCTGGGGACATACATGTTGTACCTTAGGACAGAATGCAGACAGATACAAGAACAGGACAAGCCAGCCCAGTGGGTGGGCCAAGCAGGGCAAAGGTCTCTTCTCTTGGACCAGAGGTCTCAAGCCAAGTACCTAATCTAGCAGCAGTGGAGATGGTGGTCTCTCCTCTATTCCACTCCTCTGCGTTCACTTGAAGGGTATTTTTTACAGGTGTTTTTTTTGTTGTTGTTGAAAGTGTATGAGGCCACAAAGCACTGAGGGGCAGCAGTGGAGAGAGAGAGTGCAGTACTGTACAGTAAAGTTAACATAGGTATTTTTTTAGACTGTTGATTTCTTTCAGAGTTCTTTATAATATGCATAATATGAACTTACCTAAAGTGAGAACTGTTTATAGTCCTATCTTTTTATCTCACAACCCTTCAAAAAGGATCTATCTCCATGATACTGAATTCTAAAACTCCTCTCTCTCCTCCAAACTTCTTATTCTTCCATCTCTTCATCTTCTTCAGTACTCATTCTTCATTCTTCATTCTCACCCTTACATCTAACCCATCCACCCTTTTCTTCTTTGTCTAGCCCTTCACCCTCCCAGCCTCACTTTACTCTCTGTAGTTGACCAGTTCAGTCATTCAGTGTCCTCCATTCTTGATCTCTTTGCTCTTCTTACATTATCATAGGATCATAGATTTAGAGATGGAAGGGACCTTAGAAGCCAATGAGTCCAGCCTCTTCATTTTTACACATAAAGTAAGGAAAAAAGAGATTAAGTGAATTGCCTAGTGTCAGACTATTATTAAGTGTCTGAGGCAGTATTTGAACCCAGGTCTTCCTTATTCTAATTCCACTACTCTATTACTCTCATCAGCCATGTTTTTCCATACCTCAGTCCTGGGATTCTTATCTGCATTATCACAATCAACATTCTCCAATACCACTTCTAAAGCTGGAGGACAACATATAAATGTGCTGAGTCTGCTGTAAATTTGTTATCTACTATCAGTGAGGCCATTACTGCAGCAATACTTTTTTTTTCTTTCTCCCTTAATTGATTCTCTTTTGCATTTACTGACATGGCTATTTCAAATTTTCTCTTCTTTTCTCAAGCCCTCTTTACCACCCTTCCTGTCCCTCTCAATAAAAGACCTTGCCTCCTTCTTTACTGAGAAAATTGAGGGCATCTATCATGAACTCACTCTTCTCCACTATTCCACACCTCAAAACCTATATGAATGATACCTCATTCCCTTTTCTTTTTCTCCAGTCTCTGATGAAGAAATGGCCCTTGTCTTTGAAAGATGATTTATTTCCTATTACTTTTCTTCATGTTCCCCTACATTCCTGTCAAACTGGCCAGCTAGCTTTTCCCACATGCAGCATTTCATCTCTGTCACCATGCCTTTGTATGTCCTGTGCCCCATGCCTGGAAAGCATCTCTGCCTCTTAGGAAGTATCCTTAACTGCTTTCAGGGCTCAGATCAGATGGCACCTCCAATATAAAGCTTTTCCTGTTACCTCCAATTGGGAGAGTTCTCTTCCTCCTCTTCAGTGAATAACAGAATCTCAATGTTAGATGGAATGCAACATTGTTAAGTGTATTAAAAAACAGGCAACAAACAAACAAATAAAATCCACTGATTTGGAGTCATAAGAGACCTGGGTTCAAATCCTGATTCCGTTACTACTTGCATGGTCTTGGGCAAGTTATTTAACCTTTCTAGTCTTCAGTTTCCTCATTTATTAAAGGTGGTATTTGGATGAGATCACCTCTGAAGCCCCTTGGAAGCCTGGATCCATGACCTTATAATCCACTAGTTCAACATAAACCTGAACAAGAATCCCCTCTCCCTGAAAACCCCCAGAGGGGTCATCCAGCCTTTGCTTGAAGATCTCCATTGAGGGGAATTCACTACCTCATCAGATAGATTCCATTTCACCTTTGAGTAGTACTAGTGGTTAAGTTAAAGTGGTTAAATTTACTTCTCTGCAACTTCCAGCCATTCACTCCTGGTTCTGTCCTCTATGCTTACCTAATCTGTGTACTACATAACTATTCTAAGTCTCCTCTTCTCTAGGCTAAATATCATCAGTTCCTTCAGCTTAAGATATGACAAGAACTCATATCCTGATTACTCTTGTACTATCTCTTTGCAAAGGTGGTATTTGCCTTTCCTAAAAAGCAACAAGCAGAAGTTTACATGATACCCTTGCTGAGGTATGACCAGGACAAAATGAGACTGCCATTTCCCTATGAATGGACATAATACTTGTGCAGCTTATACAACTTCAGAATATTTTATGTCAGGGGGAAAAAACAAATTTTCATGATGACTTTGTTGTATATTTGGAGGGAATAGTAAGTTGTACGTGGTAGATTTGTAGTTTCGTGTGCAATCATCTTTTTTATTGTACTCTGTTATGGAAATGCTTGCTTTGTTCCGTGAATTGGAAATAAAATACATATTTTAAAACCAGAATTTTAAAAAATACATTATCTTTCTTGGTTCTCATATCATACTACCAGCACACTCATGTCCTCATATCTTTTTTAGATAGGCCTCACTTTCCAATTCACACTTGTGAATTTTACTTTTGAGCCCAAACCTGGATTTCCATTTATCCCTAATACATTTAATCTTATTAAATGTAGCTCAGTTGTCTAAAAGGAAAAAGATCTTTGCAGGTACTGAACAGTACCCAATGCATTAGCTTTGTCTTCAGCTTTGAGCTATATTCAAATTTGATAAATATTCTTCTTCAAGTCATTGACAAAATTGTTAAATAGCACAAGGCCATGAACAAAGCCCTCTATTTACTTACCTGTGCCCATTTTGTTTTCCCCAAGCAGAGTGTAAATAAATCTCATTAGGGCAGAGATGGTTTGCTTCTGGGCTCTGTCTCCTTAGAGCCTAGTACAGTTTCTTGTTCATAGTAGGCACTTTTTGTGGATTTGAATTTAACTGTATCTGACATGTTATTTCTCCCAGTTCCATGTAATTTATAAATTTGAAAAGCATATTAACTATTCCTTCATCCATATCATTGCTAAAAGTGTTGAAAAGCCCAGGTTCAAAGATGGAACTCTGGGATGTTATACAGGAGACATCATCAAGTTGAAGTCAGTATATTATTTTGAAGTATAATCATAAAGCTAGGCTTTGTCGTTGTTGTTATTCAGTGGTTTCCATTCATAACCACATTTGGCAAAGATACTAAAGTGGTTTGCTATTTCCTTCTCCAGTTCATTCTACAGATGGGGAAATTGAGGCAAACAGTATTAAGTGATTTGCCCAGGGTCACACAGCTAGTGAGAGCCTGCCCAGGCTCAGTACTCTATCCTCTTTGCCACCTACCTATCTCAAAAACTGGGCTTGAATTCACCTAATTACTATCATTCACCTAATTACTACCACTTGAACATTTTTGCTGATCTTGATAATATTAATAACAACAACTTCAGAATAAAGGCTTCAAGATTGAATCTAGGAGTAACACTGAAGCAACTGATGAAGATAATACCTACAAATACATTGGTCTCCTGCAGCAAGATACACTGAGCGCAAAGATGTCTGAGAAAAGGTTGTGACTAAAAAAGGTGAAATTTATTAGCATCCAGAAACCTGATGTGTAGAACACATTTAAAGTAATTTCTATCTCTACAATGCAAGTCTTAATCTATACCTTTGGAGTTAAAGAATGGACCATACATAACAGATTTAGAACCAATCCTAAAAAGACAGGTTATTATAGGGCCTATCATCTTAACGCAGTTTTAGAAAGGTTAATACTTCCACACCAGAGAAGGAGGAAGAGAACTGGTAGAAATTCTCAGTCAAAAACCTACAGGAACACTTAGGCATAAGTAGACATAATTTTACTGAGAAATAGTAAGGGGGCAGCTAGGTGGCACAATGGATAGAGCACCGGCCCTGAAGTCAGGAGTGCCTGAGTTCAAATCCAGCCTCAGACACAAAATACTCACTAGCTGTGTGACTCAGGGCAAGTCACTTAACCCCAATAGCCTCACTTAAAAAAAAAAAGAAAGAAATAGTAAAGTATGATCCATTGGATTTGTTCAATGTAACTGAAAATAACTTACCTACATATAGAGTTAATGGAATGGCTAAGATCCAAGGATGGAAACAAAAGGCCCTCTGTGACATCAAGGAATCATCAAACAAAAAGTTGAGTCATGAGAATCTGTTTGTAGAAACTAAGGGGAGGGGGGAGGTAGTACAGTAATTCAGGATCATGTCATTGCCAGCAGAAATTCCAAAAGGGTTATCCTTAAGGAGCTAGGACTTAGTGATTAATATAGATTAAGTGAAGAAATGGTGAAGGAGATTAGCCAACACATCCCTGCAGGCTGTAAAAGTTTAGCACCTTTGAAATACATAGCAAGAAATAATGAGGTGGCTAGAATTAAATACTAGATGCTCATTATCTTTCATGGATTGACAGACAACAAATTCCCATGCTGTATCTACAATCCTTAAAATATCCTAGAGAATTTAATCAATAAATTGTACTAGAACTTGACCATCATCAGACTAACTGATATTCACAATTACCTGGATAACATTGATTCATAAAAATGTAAAACTTTTTTTTACATCTATGTATTGGATGCTTATAATCTTAGATGCATATAACCACCAAGTTACATACAATGCAAAAGTTTCAAAGTACACAGACCCTGCTAATGGTATCAAAATCATAGGAATAGGATCAAATATCTTGTCCTGTCTGCTACTAGACAGTGAGCTTACAGTGAGCCTATAGACAGCGAGCTTACAGCCTAACACTTTTATTCAACTACACGAAGTAGCTACCTTATCTATCTATGGTATAATCTATAAACCATGGAATTAGAAGATATAATAGCAGACTAGCAGTGACTCCTCCCAGGACCCTTTCCGTCTGTACTTCATTAAAAATGGTGAGAAGTATGTGAGAAGGAGGAGGAGGAGGAAGAGGAGAAGAAGATTATATGGAATAATGGATCTTGCCTTAAAGTCAGAAAGACTTGAGTTCAAGTCTTGCCTCTAACACATACTGGCTTCATGTTTTTTTTTAAATTTTGTTTGTTTTATTCTGGACTTAAGAAACAAAACAGCATTTCCATAATACAATAGAATAGGAAAAAAAGAGATGATTGTACATGAAACTGCAAATCTATTATATACAACTTGCTATTCTTTTTAAATATAAAATAAAGCTATCGTGTAAATTTATTTTTTCTTTCCTTTTTTTCTTCCCTCTTCATATCCAGCTTTGTGACCCTTCAAGCAGCATTTAACTTTGCTTCCCCTAAGCAACTCTCCAAAACTAGAAATTGTGGAATAGTCAATGATCTACATTGGTAGAGGAAGTTTTCACAAATAGGATTTCCCTATAGCAATGAAATAATGACACGCCTAGATATATGTATGTGTATGTAAAATACAACTTGAACATATATCATTCAATCAATCAACAAGCATTTATTAAATGTTTACTATGTTCTACAAGTGGTGCTCAATGCTAGGGATTCAAAGAAAATCAAAAACAGTACCCGTCCTTTAGACAATATACATTATACCTATATACAAGACAAATACAGTATAGATGGAAGATAATCTTAGAGATGATGACATTAAGCCAACATTTAAGAAAAGAGCTCATTTTGTTGTCCTTAAGAATCATTCCCTATGTTCTTTTCAATCAGGAGTCTTCTCTACAAAGGTATCTCTGGCTGTTGCTTTAGCACTCCAATGATGGAGAAGAAACCATCTCACAAGGCATTTTAACTACTTTGATTAGTGTAAATATCTTTAAAAATCAACTTTAGACCTGAATTATCCATAAATGCTATCTGTGGTCCATAAATTTACTCCAACTGCTCTACCTCCTCCAGCAGTCTCCAATTCTCTCCTATTGCTATATTCTCACTGACTCGTTCCTTGTCATTTTTTTTCTGATGTTCAAATCTGCCTTCTTTTGTCCTACCTTATCTCTGCAGTCTAGCCACCCTCAGATTACTTAATCAAAATTACTTAATCAAAATCACCCAGTGCATAAAATAAAAATGAAAGTCATCCAAAATTACCTTCTTAATTATGAGTACAATCTGTCCTCAGCCATTTTTTAAAAATTAATGGTAGGAGTACCAAATTTGATTGGAACAACTATAATTTTTTATGTGACAAAATGGAATTTGGAGGGGTTTGTAGTTTTCAATATTTTGGCCTATACTTATTGTCGTTTGTTTAAATTTCAAGGCCCAAGGCAAAATTTCAGAAATAATCCACTTACCCTTTCCAAATCTTAAGCTCCTAGAGCACAAGAACATCATTTTTCATTCATGTATTCTTATTACCTAGCACAGTACTTTTCACATAATGGGAGCGTAAAGTATTTTTTAATTGCATTTTTAAATTTTAAAGTAAAAGGATCACGAAGGATGAAGAGCTTTCCTTTTTTGCTTCCCTCCCTCTGGCCTACCGAATGTATTTCCCCACTCTCCTCCATCTCCCACTCAGATGTCAAAGTTATTTTCTTGAAGGGTATATTTGACAATGGCTCCCTATTACCTCCAGAATCAAGTATAAAATCATCTGTTTAGCTTTTAAAGTTCTTAACAACCTGGTTCCTTCCTGTTTTTCCAGATTTCTTACACCTTAATCCTTCAATATACACTCTAGGATCCAGGGACGCTGGCCTCTTTGCTGTTCCCCAGACAAGACACTGAACTTTTTCATATACTCCATAACTGTAATTCCTTCTCTCTTGATCTCCATCCCCTGGTTTCCCTGGCTAGCTACATAGATAGATAGATAGATAGATAGATAGATAGATAGATAGATAGATAGATATAGATACACACACACACACACATATATATACATATACATATACATATACATATACATATACATATACATATACATATACATATACATATACATATACATATACTGTTCATGCTTAGCTGTTTGCAGTTGTCTACACATTAGATGGTGAGTTCCTATAGGCAGGACTGACACTTAGAATGATGCCTGGCACCTGGTAGGCACTTAAATGCTTGTTGACTTGACTATGCCATTTACTGGCTGTGTATCATGGGGCCAATCATTTAGCCTCTTTGAGACTTCTCAGCCACAAAAAAAAAAAAATGACAATACTCATGCTACCTGCTCATGGGATTGCAGTGAGTGCTAGAGACAATCACTGGACCTCCTAGTTTGCTGGTCAGGGATGCCTACGATGGAACCAGGAATGAACTCTGGCTCCCAGGTGAAGGACATTTCCCTTCAGAGATGATACAGAAAACTTCTGATTTGGACTTCCAGTAAAGGGCAAGAGGAATCCATTTTTCTCCTCTCCCTGCCCCCAGCAGGAGACAGAAGAGGGATCCAAAAGGGGGGGAGGTGTCTTTTCCACAGTTCTTATAGGCCACAGAAACGTTGGCTGTCCCCAACAAGAGCTTATCTTCCTGAATCTCAGTGACCAAGTTAGCTTTAGCATAGCTCTAGTCACCAGAAACCAGACCAGGATGTTCTGTTTCCATGTTTCTTGTCAACAAGGAGCATGGCCCCTCAGAAGCCAGAAGGCATGCTGAGATCCATGGCATGTTCCAGCCCATCAAAGGTTTCCCTATCTTGCTATACATAGAAAATACTGTAAAATGAAAAGCATTGTATAAATGTGAATTGCTACTAGCATTATGTTTACAAGCACTGACTTATCTGTCTTGTTTGTTTCCCATCCTTCAGCTGTGTATCTTTTTAGGGTTAGTACATATGACCACATACTTGATGTGAATCTGCTCCTTTCATTATCTTAGGGTGTGTGTATGTGTGTGTGTGTGTGTGTGTGTGTTTATCAGAAACTTAGAAACAAATTCATTAAACTCTATTATCCAAATGTAAGTGGGTCTTTTGTGGATCATTTCAGGGCACACATTAAATCCCAGGATGCCTTCCTATATTGTGTAGCGTACATCTGAGCACTCTCCCTCCTTTCTGTCAGTTGGGGCATGCTCAGGGAATGCTAACGAATTTTAATTGTAGTCTAAGCAAAACCTAATTAGGAAGATAAATCTGCTGTCAGAAAAATCATATTGCCCATCCCAAGGCCAAAATAATGATTTTAGCATTATCCACTATTTTGGATGATCTGTACCATTGCCCCCCTCTAACAATTAGAATAATTACAAGTTGTCTGATGTCACATTGGATTTGTTTTAAATTTCGGTAAGTCTACGTGCAGTATATTATTGCTGTAGTCACCACTACTGCATGTATCTAATTATCTTTGCCTTCTGTTTAAAAAAATTTTAATTTACTTTAACAAATAACACAGTAGAAAGAGCACTGGACTTGGAGTTGGAAGGCTTGAATTCAAATCTTAGCTTGAGAGCTTTAGTCCTGTGACCACAGACAAGTTGCCTCACCTGTTTGAACCTCAGTTCCCCTCATCTGTAAAATGAGTATGGTTTAGCCAGACAGCCTCAAAATTCCCTTCTAGCTCTAAATTTACAAGCCTTAAGTATAATCCTATGATTATTCTTGTGTTAGATGTGATTAGAATTCCCATGAGCAAGAAACTGTTAGCTGCTGAAGGTTCAAAATCAAAATAAGGCACAAATTTGTGTCCCACAAGTATAAAAATAATGTTGAATGCAGAAACAAAATAATAAACTAAAACAATAGTGTTAGAAATTTATCCTAACGTACCAACTATGTGGGAAAACCCTTTTCACAGATGGCTACATTTGGACTTTCTGGTTCTGCTTGTTGTAAGAGTCTGTAGTATTAGTAACTCACAGCAATGTGAAGTTCCCAGTCCTTCCCACTTACTGCTACCAAGGCATACCTGAGGGGCCACCATCCCAAAAGGAAGTCATTTCATTTTTATACTCAATAACACCTCTCTCAAGGCCAGTATGTAATGCTAAATTGTGTTGAATGATACCAGATAGTACCAGTTTGTCATATGGGCAGCTAACATGAAACTTTTTCACTTAACTGAAGTAGGACAGCATCTGGGTTGAGATGAAAGGTCAGTTCTTTATCCACTAAGTCACCTAGATATTCCGAAATCCCCAGTACATTACAAATTTGAACAGTTTAAGCTCTCTTAAA